TACCTTGTCGATACCTACCACAAATTAATTATGCCATTTTATATATACATTGAATAATAAGAATAGGGTTTTGCAAGAAATCGGATCTTTTCTGACAAAGGCAAGCTGTGATTTCTTTATGAAAAGCCACGTAACATTTAATATCAATCCAACCCATAAATAAATATTAATAGAAAGATTTGGTGACACACGATCAATCGGGTTGTCATGTATGCTAAGTAATAAAATAAATCAGTGCCACCAGCATCGGAGCAAAAAGAAATATTTATTTTTGTCAAAAAAGAAAACAGCCACGTGTCAATTACCCTGTGAAATCTCCAAAGGATGAGCGTTTTGTTCTCAAAAAGGCACACCAACTTGTTGTCTGGTATAACTTCAATAATGAAATTTTATCGAATCAAATTGTTTGGAATTAATTAGAATTACGTTCTCAACGAGATCTGTTCTGATTTGAGCAAGGCGAGGGTATTATTGAAGACATTTTGAAGTTACATGAAGTGTTGAAAATTTAGTATTCTATTAATAAATGTAAAACATTTTTAATATTTTAAGATTATTATATTTTTTTTTAAGTATTCCTAATGAATAAATAACTTTATATTTATTTTAATGTAAAATATCTTATTAAATAAGAATAAATATGAAATAATATTGTTAGTTTAAAAATAAGCAATTACTTTATTAATGAGTGAGATTTAATAAAAGATGTAAAGTATTTTTTAATTAACCATATTTTTTAATGGAGAGAATATAAGAGAACAAACGTACCTCATAATTCACATGTATATATATAGTATGTATTATGGCCTTTGTTCCCTTAAGCACAAGGGAATTGACACCATGATACATTATTAATTAACCACATTTCACATATCAATAAAAAGTAATTATTTCCTTAATTGAGTAATTCTATGAAAAAATGACATGTCATTTTCTTTTTTGCCCTTATCCCCTTTATTTTGAAGAGTGAGAAGTATCCATATTATATTTCCCATGTGCACATTAATCAATAGCACAAGAGTAAGTTTTTAAAAATATAATTTAAAAAAAAATACTAAATGTCGTGTATTTTGAATCTAGATTAATTAAAAAAATACAATCTGGGGTGGAGAGGTAGTATATTGTTTGCTAGGAGTTTTTCATCTCTAGACCATGACTTTGCCCTCTGCAGTTTTATGAATGACAGAATGAGTCCATGTTTTTTAATTATTAACTAAAATGTTATAATCGCATGTAATTGTATTCAATTCAATGGACGCGCCTTCAGAGAAATAATGATGACAGTTTATCTTAGCTAGTCATGGATTTATAATCAAAGATATATACTCCTAGTTACACAAGCCCATTACAATAGTAGTAAATTATACCTATTTAACTGAGATAAAATATTACAAATATTTAGCACTAGACTGTAAGTAAATTAAAGTATCTGGTCATGTGATCTGTAGGCTGAGAGCTGAGAACTGAGAAGCCGTACGTGATGTTGGACACGTGCTGCAACTTGCAAGCATGTGAATTTGTTAAGATTATGAATGATTAAGGACGTAGATATTCCGTCATGCACACGCTTATACGCGTGTCATAACCATGCATGTTGGCCAACGAATGTCATCCCTTACAAAATAGCACACCTTGCTTTCGGCCTAAGGAATTTTTCTACTTAGTTTCATGTCATGGTAAGTGCATGAGCGCCGGTTGGCAGTGATGGAGTTAGAATCCAGAATTAAAAGTTATAAAATAATTTTTTAAAAATTAATAATTATGCTAGGTCTAAAATTATAATAATATAAATAATTTTTTTATCATTTTTATTTTAAAAAATGATATTGAATAGATTGATATAATCTTTTATTGTAAATACATTTTTTATATCTTATCTAGATTATTAAAATATTATATATCTAATAAATTTTTGAGCCTAAATATTTTTCATTTAATTTAAAAGGTGCAAAATATTAAAAGTAGGAGGTATTAAGTTGTAAATTTTATATACCTGATTTATAATTTTATCTAAAGTAAGGGGGTGCATTTGCGCCCTCTCAACTCAACGTACCTCCGCCACTACCAGCAGATATGTATCTCACCAATAATAATTGGGTTGATATATTATAATGAACTCAATAATGTTCCTAAAGAATGTTTTGTTTCTTTTTATGATAATTAAGACTGACTAATACTGGTAATTAAAACTCGCTGCCATGGAAGTAAAGGCAGCTTATAGTTAAACAAATGCCCTTGCTCAGGTTTCATGCCAGCATTACCTTGCTAGGCGTATGAGAGAGCTTTGCCTCCTGTTTGAAACATCAATTTGACATGAATTTTGATTAGTTATTTCATGAAATAGAGTAAGTTTTGTTTCATTTTGCATGCATTATATTTTTGTTTTGATATCAAGACAAAAATTAATAAAATAAAAAGGTAGGGTAAAAAGTTACAAAGCTAAATTAAGCATTAAATGTAGAGTGCAACATAAGAAATCCTCGTCCTAGACAAGTTAAAAAAGATGATGTTGAAACTCATTAAGTAAATGATTAATGTCTAAAATGATGGTTTCATCTTACATGCACGTCACTTTAGACTTTCAAAGCAACCTAAAATTAATGACATTTTCCCCGTTTTACCTTTAGAGAAACAGTCCACTACTTCTTGCATGATTTTGATATAAACACATTAAAGTACTGAAATAAATGAAGAAGCAAATTTGGTAAAATGTATGTGCTATTTTTTCATATATTTGTTGTTTTTTAATTAAAAACCACGTAACTAGCTCATACATATATTTATTATAACACACTAGCTGTTCAATTAGAATTAGACTTGTAGGGTGGGCTAAACAAACAAAAGGGATGATAAGGACTGTGTGATGCATGTCAGATAGTGTGGAGGGACAATGGATTGCAAAAGCTAATTAAAGACGGAGGTAGTTGCCAACTCATGAGGGCGTTGACATGTGGTATCGTTTGTAAGAAAGGGGAAATGAAATGTATGCAACCCTAGAACTCTTTGGGACTGTGTGTTAACGACAAAACATTGAGATTCCCTTTAATATATACGAAATCTAATTTGTGGTTCAACTAACTTTGTGACTTGTCATCTTCGTTATTCTCTCTCTCTCTCTCTCTCTCTCTCTGTGTGTGATTGTTATCATGTGACCATTTGTTCAAATTTCCATAGGTTCAGCCATCTCAAGTACTAGTTGTTACAATCTTCATCATCCTCTTCTAACCGGTGTTGACTTCTTATTAACTTTATTCAAAATATCTCGCCAAATTTCTTACACTACTTTTTGGAAACTGAGCTAACTTTCTTTAATTCTCCTGACTCCTTTGTTTCCATATTGATTGTTTGCGCCCAAATGCCAGCTTTGTTTTAGGCTAGCTCTGGTTTGATGATTTCATATATACCACTGTGGTATGTTAAGTTACCGTTGAAAAAGTTAATTAGAAAGAACAAGTGTCCGCGGATTAATTAGTTCCCACATGTAAGTCAAATAATGCTTTTAAACTTCGCTCTACAATTAAGACAGGAGGAATAATACACACACACACATATATTTCTTGGGTGAGACGGTATTGCGCTACAACTGGGCATCAATTTTGTTTTTCCCCCTCGAAAATGTCTTGAAAATTTCGAGTTATTTAACATGTTTGTTGTGTCAGGATGGATTCTATATGCGGAAACTTTTCCCATAGCCCTGAACAGGTCCTGCAAAATAGCCGACTCAGCTAAAGCCACGGGAGATTGCGTAGAGAGTTTTAATTGGTTGTGGATTTTGATGCTAATAATCAAGAAGATGCATGTAATTTTTAAATTTTAATTTGATGATTATAAATATTACATCCTTATATCATTTGGATCGTTAAAATTTATATCAATAATTTAAATAAATAAATTTATTTATTAATCTAAATTAAATTATAAATTTAAAATCATTGAATTAAATTTCAACAGTATTTGTATTAAATACTGAATTTAAATCCGTATTCTTCTAGGTGACAATAACTTTAATTAAGATATTACTTAATATGATCAAATAATCAATACTGCATAAAGCATATCTTTTAAATAAGCCACCTAAATTTAGCTCAGGCAATAGTAGTAAAATAGAATATGAGTACATAAAATATACCTCACGGGAACAAATAAGAGGTGATTGAGTTTTTGATGTTATTTGACTTCTCAATTTACTTTTATTAAAAGAGTCATGCTTGAAAACATTAATTCATCTCTCTCTCACACATACACAGACAACCTCTCATGTCTACCTTGTAGAAAGTTGTAAAACAGTAAAATTGAAAGAAAATAATTACTAATGTATTCTTTATTCAAAATAACTTAAAAAATCAATAATTTCTTCTAGAAAGTAAAATTATATACAGCATAAGCAGAGGCAATAGTGATTAAGAGTTAATCCTTTTTTGTATAATAAAAAAACATAGTTTTTGATCTAAAGACCATCACATGAAGCCAATATATATGTGGAGCATATAATTGATTTAATGCAATTGATGACATTCCACATGAAATTTTAACGCATTGACTCACAAAAACATTAAACTGGCCTTCGTCGACTAGTATACTACTGCGTGGTTATATTAGCCTTTTTTTTTTATTTTAATTAACCAGAACGTTGTCACATAACATTAGTTTGGTTAACCCAATAAAACTGTTTTGCATGACAATGTAATTACTGAAACAATGCACACGTAAGAGTTATACAAAATTAGGAAAAGAGAGAAATAAAAGCGTAAACTTACGCAATCTGTTTATGCATATGAGGAATCACAACCACAAAGCCAACAATAATGTAATTAAATTCATGAATCACATGAGTAAAACGGCGACGTGTCATCATCTGAAAAGCGCATTTTTGACCCTATGAAAAGTCAAGATTTCTTAAAGGCTCTTCTATTATAGATTCAAAGGTCAAAATCTTCGCCTCCAGAACCAACTCTCGCCCTTCAAATAGCGTGTGAAGCTTATCATTTAAAACAGATGCGTCGCCATTTTCACACCCCCATCACCGGCTCTCCCTGTTTCCCGGTTCACATCTTCGCGTATCCCTCCGCCACGTGTCCTTCCCCTTGTTCCTATAAATACGCCAACCATCCCGTTTCCCTCGTCTTTCTTATCCTTCACCAACATAATTCCAACCTGAAAATTTTCTCTCATCTTTTTTTGTCTCATTTCAAATTTCTCTAATATTTTCTTGGATGACAAACGAACAGGGAGGCACGATGGTAGCAGAGCCTTCTGGTTTTCACCGGCCCAGTTTCGGAGCTCTACTGCACTCCGATCCAACGTCGTTTTGCTCTAGCAGCTACGAAAGCGAGGATTCGACTTCGAGCCCGTTTCGCTACGCCGACAGCACCACCACGAGCAACGTTAGTTCTCCTTACCTGATGTCTCCGTGGAACCCGGCGGCCTCGCCGTACAACAAATCTCCCTGGTTGCTGTCGTCGCCGATGCGTGGATATAATACCTACGGCGACGACCACGACGTCCAAAATGTGCTCATCAAGTCACTCATCCGCGAGGAGGGTAACATATATTCTCTGGCGATTTCTGGGGATTTGTTATACACCGGAACCGATAGCAAAAACATCAGGGTCTGGAAGAATCTCAAGAGCCACGGGGGCTTCAAATCGAGCAGTGGACTGGTGAAAGCCATTATTATATCCGGCGAGAAAATCTTCACCGGCCACCAGGACGGAAAGATCAGAGTATGGAAGAGCTCACAGAAAATTCCTGGCTATCATAAACGCATTGGAACTTTGCCCACTTTCAAGGACTATGTCAAAAACTCGACGAATCCTAAGAACTACGTGAATATCCGGAGGCACAAAAAGACGCTGAGAATCAAACATTTCGACGCTATTTCGAGCCTGAGTTTGGACGAAAATAATGGGCTGCTATACTCGGGCTCGTGGGACAAAACTTTAAAAGTGTGGCGGATATCGGATTTCAAATGCTTGGAATCTATCCAGGCACATGACGACGCTGTGAACTCGGTGGTGACCGGGTTCCTGTGCTTCACCTTGACCGGTTCGGCGGACGGGACAGTGAAGATGTGGAGGAGAGAGACCACGTGGGAAGGGAAGACCAAGCACGTCCTTGACCGGATTCTGTTGAAGCAGGAGAACGCTGTAACAGCTCTGGCGGTGAACACATGGTCGACGGTTATATATTGCGGATCGTCGGACGGGATGGTGAACCTGTGGGAACGTTATCCGAAGAACAACCTCAGGCACGGCGGTATCCTGAGAGGTCACAAGCTCGCGGTTCTATGCTTAGCCGCCGGGAAGAACCTGGTGTTCAGTGGGTCGGCGGATAAGAATGTTTGCGTGTGGAAAAGGGAGGTGAATGGGTCCCACACGTGCCTTTCGGTTCTGACGGGCCACACCGGACCCGTAAAATGCATAGCTGCTGAGCAAGAAGAACCAGAAGAGAACAAACACCAGAGGTGGACGGTTTACACGGGGAGCCTGGACAAGTCCGTAAAGGTGTGGCGCGTGTGTCCTCACGCTCCGGATACGAGGACAGGACAGGGCTTGGGAAGTAACACGCACGGTCCTAAGATCCCATCAGCGGAGAGAGTGAGCTTTCCTTCGCCTGTAATGAGTGGGAGAAACGGGAAAGAAAGCAAGATGCGTTCATGGGTGTGAAAATGGATGAAGGAGGCGACGATACGCTAGTTGAATGGCGGTGATGGCCGCGCGTGAATCTAGATGGGCGGTTTGGCGGGCAAGTGGGCCTCGAGTAAAATTTAATGGTCCGTGATTGGTGAAGCGTGGGAAGTCACAACCAAATAGCTTAATGGGGAAGGGACTAATAGGAAACAGACACGTAGGTGACAATGTTAAGCAAGAGCATCGCCAGAAGATACGGAGACACGGGCGCACGCCTGGGACTCTTAACAACCTTTAATTTGTGTGTTGGGATCCAGTGAATGGTTTCCAAGTTTTGGGTTGAGGAAGAAGTGATGTTATTTAGTAATACTCTAGCTATTATAGTGGTTAGAGTTTGTGTAAAATGTAAATGTATTATGGACCGCGACCTGGTTGTGAATAATAGTAATAACAGTGTAAAGTTAATGATTGAGAAAATGAGAATCATTTGCAAGTTTTGGTGATGCACATCAATGTCATTGATGATTGGTGCTTCACTCTCAGATTTACAGCTGGAATAATAGAGATGGTGAAACTTGTGGAGAAATATCCTACAGAACAATGTTTCATTTAATATATATATATATATATATATATATAGTATTTGTAACATATATAGTACACTATACATTTAAATTTATTCATGACTCAAACAGCAACGTACGTAATCGTCACCCAAAACCCAGATGAAGACAAACATTGAGTCCACGAATTGAACAAACTATAACAAGAAAACGCAGCACAAATATATGGCAAAAAAGCAAAAACTAAAAAACAAAGAAATATGACAGCAAGGCAAGAACAAATCAAGACACACTTAGAAGCTTACTAAAAATGAATGAATTAAAAAGAAAAATGTAAAAATAATATAATTAAAGAAAATATGTGAGCACATTTATAAGAGAGAGAAGTAATTTAGTTTATGAGATTAGAAATCATGATTCATGATATTTTTTTTAAGAGTGTGTGATGAATCTTACATTTATAGTATATATTAATGAGTTTTATCATACCTACTATGAAGAGAATAATAATTTAGTTTATCTTTTTCTTAATTTTTTAATCTATTTCATTCCGTTGGTTTTTAGTAACCAAACGGGGCCTAATTTTATATTTTCTAGACTCTATATATGTATTGCACACTTTTTTTTTTCCATACCTATAAGCTCAAAAAAGCGCTTGTAACTACAGAGGTATGTATGGATCGCTTATCAACAAGGTAGAAATGAATCTATCATTAAGTTAGTGACTAAAAATATTTGTCATTAATTAATAAATTTTTATTACTAATTTATTTTATCATTAAAATGTTTTTTAAGGTCTAATTAGTATCATGTCATGTTCCATGTCACCTTTCAAATACACATCATCCTGCCATTTGTTACATCATTATCATGTCAATAATATACATTAATTCTTTACTTGTAATATTGCCTTGTCTTGAACCTCTTGCAGCTTTGTCAGTTGAGCTGTAACTTGTAATGACTTTTTAATCATAATATACAAATATATATATATATATATATTACTTAATTGAACACATAAATTTAATTTAATTTATTTTTTATATATTTAATATACTCTTCTATATTATTAGTTAAATATATATGTACGTTAACACGTATACATACTCCTATATAATTCAATAAATATTATTAGTTAATAAAAATATTTTTTTAATATCATTTAATATATATTATGGAAATAAATGTTTGTGTATATTATTTTATGTAATCTATGTTATAATTAAGATATTTTCATACGATAAAAATATTATTTTTATATTTAAACTTGCATATTAATAAAATAAAAAACTATTTTTATTTTTGTTATATTATTTTATATTATATATTTTACTTGTACTAAGAGAAAAAATTACTTGTGTAATTATTTAATTTGACAATTTTGAAAGATTTTTTATGTGAATCTTTCTATGTGTATTATAATTTTTTTATTTATATAAAATATTTTTAATTAAAAATATCCATTACTAATCTATTACTAATATAAAGATTTAGTGATAAAAATTAGTGATAGACTTAAATTGGTCATTAAATTTGTAAAATTTTATCAACATGTGATGATATCTTACATCCATCACTAATTTATATAATTAGGTTTTAGGGTTAATGTAATTAGTGACAGATTTGTCATAAAATGTCTGTCGCTAATGTCTATAATTACTAACAGAGTGGAGATCCATGACTAATTTTAGCTTGTCTATTAGTGTTTGTTTATGTGATGTACAAATTAAGAAAACCATGCATACTGTGGTTCAGTTGGCAAGGAGTTGGCTCATAAACTCAAAATAGTTCTTGCTTCTAATGTGAGAACCTTGTTGGTACAATATCCCAACCTCCCAGCTTCAACAAAAAAAGCTCGTTTAGCCTAAATAGAATCATCAATTCTCTCTAATTTCTTGATGGTACTGCTACAACTACAATACAAAAATAGTAGACCAAGCGTGGTTTTTTACGCCATGTCGGGGGTGCTGTTTGAGTTGTGGTAGGGATTTTCCTTTCTGGGCATCGTTTTTTCCTTTTGCTACTTTTGTTTCTGTCCGGACTCTTGCGATGTTCCTGGAAATGAGTAATCCTGTTCAAAATATCTATGCTGAGACGGATGCGAAGAAAGTCACAGCGAAAGCAATCCCAGCACCTTGCTATTTGAGGACGCTGCATAGGGTGGCTCCAAATACAGAGACTCAGTATCAAGGTTGCCTGAATTTCTCTCTCCAAACATGCTTCAAATTTCTTCTTTAGTGCTCTTTCCCTCTAAAAAGCCAGATCTTAATGAAGCTATAAGGAGGCGACATGATTGGGAAGAAGCAGCATAACAAAGATTAGATGTTCGTCACAAAAACAGAGTAGAAGGCGAAAGGTGGGAGGACCCAAAATCCAAAGATTGCCATTGAGAGCTCCTACAAGTGTGTGAGCCTTCCTCTATTACTTTTTTAAATTCCATCATAATTTTTCTGTGATAGTTAGTCTGAGTCCTGGTAATTTGTGCTGCTCCAATCTATTTAATCACTTTTTCCATTTTTGGAAAAAGTTTATCCCTATTTCTTTTCCTATTTAAAATTTAAAATCCCATGTCTGTTAGTCTTAGCTTGATGATGGCTGCTTATGCAGGCTCTTGAATCGAGAAGGATGAAAATACCTATGTTAGCAAATTGAGAGGTAATGTTATGAATTTCATCTCTTAATTTTTTGATGCAAGTCTGAATGATCAGAACTATTATGACTTTGATTATTGTTGGAAGAATAGAGCTTCTTTTTTTTTTTTGGGAGAAATTGACAGAATTAAAGGAGGAGTATAAGTATAGCAAAACTTCGAGCTAAATCCCACCAATTTTTGTATCCATATTTTATTTTGCCCTCACTGTGAATCTCTCTCCCCTTCTAAAATTTCAAATGGTGGAGAGACTGCTTTGATGTTCATATCTTGTGTAACGTCTATTCTTGTGGGTGGAAGTTAAAAGGAATGTGGTAATCTTACTGATATGTTATATACTTAATTGCTTCATGTTTCCATTATATGTAAGCTTTTCAGGACTTATTGTAGTCACTGACAAGCTTTGGTTTTGGGAATTTTTGAGTTGTCAAGTTAATGACAAATAACATAATGGGAAGAGTTCATCTCAATAGTAGCTAAATCAGTTGACATTGATAAAATCATGATGTCCGTAACTACGACGAAATTGATATTGGGCTGAATAAATTGTTCATGTCAATAACAGCAACAATTGTTATCTATCCCTTCTTCAACTTATTTCACACATCTCATTTTTGTTTATAGAACTCTAGACTAATTTGTGCATCCGCAATGCTTAATTTGCTGCTCTCTCTCTTTTATTTATTGAATTTGTTTGGCTCAATCTTTATGCTTTCTTTGTACTGCTGCTTTAGCATCTGAAACAATGAAATGCAGAAAGTTGAAGTTTCCCTCTTTTGGAAGGAAGTCTTACTTAGTGAGGTTTGTTGAGCTTTTACTTCCCTTAAAAAATTATTAGTTTTATATATAGTCTTTGAATCTGCAACGTAATATATAGGGCTATTTGAAACTTGTGGTCTGATAATGAGTGATGTGTGCAATTAGCAAACTTCTGTGGGAATTAGTATGATTTGATGCTTGCTTGATTTAGGTTTCCCTACACACCATAATTTTCCCACTCTTGACTATTCCATTGTAATTATTTGATCATGTGCTTGTTGGAACTTCAAATGTTGCAAAACCATGAACTCCTCAGTTAAAAATTAGAACTCCCTTCTATCCATTTCTCTCTTCGTTTAGAGGCCAAGGCAATAGATCAATCATCAATATGCCTGCATCTTTGTTGACCTCGTAATTTCTTTTGCATTTTGTTTTGTTTGGGTCTATATTTTTTCCCCGTTTTTGCAAAAGCAATGGATTCCACCCTTGTAATCTATATTCTGAAAAACAAATGCAACACAAGAGACATTGTAGGATTATTAGTACACAAGATGTTGCACGTAGCTTCTTGCAGGATTTAGAAAGAGCATATAAGGGGCCACTCAAAAAGAAGTGTGGGGAATTGGTTTTGACTTGGGATTTTGGGTAATTGCTTTAGAGTGGCTTCTGACGGTTCAAATACCCCCAAAAAATATATAATAATTTTATATATCAATCAATGCATGCTCTTGCTCACATATATTTATATATAGATGGGTGTATGTTTTTTTTTTTTTCATTTTCTATCCCTTTATCTCAGTGTGTTTCTTAATCAACGTTGTTAGTGTTATTGGCTTTGGAGGAACCCTTATAAATCTTGTGATTTTGGACTGACCATCAAATAATTGTTCTAATTTCATCTCTTTCCTATTTTTCTGCCTATTGGCATCTTTTTACACCTTATCTGAAATTACATAGAACCTCATGATTATTTCAAACGCGTCCAATAGTCTAATTTTGGTTTCTAAATTCTTTGATTTTGCCAAGTGCCCAAGTGGTTTGATTTAGTGAAGTCAAAGTTGTAGGTGAAACCTAATCTTTTTAATTGCTTTATCATTCTGGTAAACTGATATGCTCATTGTTGAATATACGCAACTTTTTGTGATCTGCGAGAATCAGAAACATGTTTTGAGGTTGCAGAAAATTTTTATTAACTATATTGCAGCGTTACTTGCTTAAGAAGAAGCAACATGGAGTTTACTGCAGAATCTCTTAAATACTCCAAAATGGCAAATTAAAATATTTTTGTTATTACCTATAAAAATAATATTATCATATTTACTTAAGAAAGTTGTTGGAGTCTTCCAAGTGACATCTGATATCTTGTTTTATGCTCAAATGTTTAAAATTTAACCTTTAAGTAGTTGACAAATTAAAAGGTTCACTTGCAGAATGCAGCATCACATATAGACCCTCTTTATTTTTCACAAATCTCTTTTTATAATATACTTATTACATGTCCAATTTTTTGGGATAAAAAACAAAATTAAAATCCATGTGCAAGCTATGGCCTTGGGACAAATCTGGGATTTGAGGGGGTTTGATTTCCTTATTATGAGACTGCATTGTAAATTCTAGGAAACATTTAACTATTGGTTTAGTGTATAATAGCCAGGGCTGTGTGAAAAAGTTTTGGAGCCTAAAACAAAATTATTTAAGAGGCCTAACATATTTTCATTAATCTATTTTCATATTATTTTTTTTCAATTTGTTAAAATCATATTCAACATTTTTGCCGCTCCAAATTTTATAAAAAAAAAATTACAACAATCACAATTTCAAACAAAACATGAAAGAATAAACACACCTGATATAGCCAATACTTAATATCATAACTAGTGTGTTTTTTGCTTCTAAGAAAATTCTCATTTTTAAATAAAAGTCTGTAGTTAACATTAATATCTGACATAAAAAAAATGACCGATCTTATAAAAATAGAAAAATATTTTGGCATAACAGTTCACACGAACTTGATAAAGTTAAGAGTCCATTTAGTTTTTCTCTGTTTCACGTTCAAAAAGCAAAATTTTACTTTCAAAAAGTTAAAGGTTGTTTGGGGTAGAACATTTTGTAGAAAAGTATATTCTAAAAGTACATTCGAATAGCAGGAAAGTGAATTTTTGAAACATAACTATTTAAAGCTTTTGAAAAATGGGATGTTATTTGACTATACTATCTACGTTTAATCTCTTATTTTTTTATTTAAAAAATAATTAATTCATTAATAATATAATTATTATTTTAATAATACTAATTTGGTATAATAAAAATTACACATCTTTTAAAATTAAAAATTAAAAAATATAAATAATTAGAGATTAAATTTTTAGCATTATAGATCAAAATTTATGTTATTTAAAATTTTTATTATATTTTTTAAATATTTTAAATATATTACATTTGTATAATAAAAATTATAAATCATTATGAATCATGTCTTTTTTGATAATTGTACATTCAAAAGCACATTTTACTATCACAAATCAAATAACTTTCAATGTATCAAATTGACTTTTGAAAAATATATCCAAATACAAATTTCGTTACAAAAATTAACTTTTATTAAATTGATTTTATTAAATGGATTTTCACTAAATGAACTTTTGACAAACTAAAAACCAACGCATACTAAGTCTATTTTCTGTTATCCTGAGCTTTGCTTGAGCATGTCATAGAATTCGGATGGTCCATGGATATAAGAGCAACTATGGAACTTTCTTTTTTAGTTTAGTAAGCTGAATTATTAGCGTCTCGATAAATATTTTCACCAAACAAGCATGACAATGATGTTATGTTGCTAGGAATTGCTATGCATGAATAAATTGTTCAGTAAAGATTTTGCCGGAGAATACATTATGTTTCTAAGTTCTAACAAAAAATTCTCTCATTTATTGATTTAAAAAAAAAAATCCCTCATATAGATTATAATGCAGATTTGAGTTATTGGAACTTGACTTCTTATATGTATGTGTGCGCACAGATAATGTTGTTATGTTCTATAAATTATATACCGTAATATTTTAATCAAATATATTATATTAATTAATTTTCTTTTATATTTAATTTTATCTAACAGATATTCAAGTACACTTGTAATCATTGTAACAAATCAAATGATTATGTATTTCTCAAACAAAATTGTAAAGTTATTTTTTTTTTTTTTTTTGAGTTTAGACTACAGATCAACTACTTTTGTGCGCGCGCGCCGTGAAGAACTTGGGACCTGGGGGCAACTACGAAGAAGAAATTTGTTGGGTCTAACAATTTTTATGTGCCATCTGCTGGGCCTTGTTTGCCCTTTGATCCATTGCCCCGCTCGTTAGAAAGAACAAGTTCCCGTCATTCTAAGCCACAGCCCACAGGTATTTAAGAATTTGGTATGTTTGGAACCCGTTTTGATCGAAATAATGCGACTGTATTATTATCTTAAACGGTGTAAAAGCATTTTCTAACCAGTTTTTATTTTTTTTTGGCATGAAAGGATGATGTTTCCATGGGTCAACCTACATTTTTATCCCCGAACTTTTTTAAAAAGGCATAGGACATCCTATATTGATAAGTAGGTCAACTTTTTTCCTAAATTATTTTTTTAAAGAACAAAAAATCTCTTCTATTATTCAATAGTCAACTTTACTGTTTTATATTGATGTAACATGTTACTATGGAATAGGGATAAATTGCAGTTTTAACACCAAAATACATGGTTAGAGTCCATTTAGCTTGGGTAAATTGGCCACAATTGGTAAAATTGTAATTTACTCTAAAATATGCACATTTGTTGCGGCCAACTAGTCACAAGTTGTTCATCATGGCATATCTTGCTTTTTGTTGCGCGGCACACATGTCTTTGACAACAACACTTGCTATCATAATAGCATCGGAGTCAAACTTTCGGCATGCGCCATTTCACCATTGGAGATCTGATCAAAGTTGTTTAAACACTTACATGAAGCTAGTTCTGTCTTTTATCTAATGGCACTAGTTTTCCAACAAAAAGATATGCCGATTAAAAGTTGGGCACTTGGATGCAAAATGTTATATTTTAAAGTTTTAACACACATTTAGAGTTCCAAATCCAAACTGAGTACCACATTATAAATCAAAGCTTGAATCAAGTCTGATGTACACAATCACTCCTGATTGAGCAATTGTACACATGATATCATTACTTGAATACATTTTGGCCGACAAAACATT